GAGGAGGCCCGGGCCACATGGAGGCCAGGAGAAGGTGGGAGGGCGAGGTTCTCCGGGGTCCAGGCTGAGGAACCCTCTGCTCTACAGAGGAGGAGGGAAGCTTACATGACGATGAGGTTGGCGGTGGCAGAGTGCTCCTTCAGCAGCTCGTTCAGGCGGATCTGGCGGTTGGTCTGAGGAACAAGCAGAGCAGATGATCAGAACCCGCTTCCAGTTCAGTCCAGTTCAGCTGCTTTTATCCGTCCCAGTATGGACAGTTTTCTGCAGTAGTAGTGCACCTTTCACACTCATGTTCACCTTTCACACACACATGTTCACCTTTCACACACATGTTCACCTTTCTCACTCATGTTCACAGATGTTCACAGATAAAAATAAAACAAGAAGCACAAGAGACACATAAACATTTAAAAAGATAAAAGTAAGGTGGATAAAGAGACAGAAATGTAAATAATAATAAAAAGTGAATAAATATGTGCAAAGAGCGCAGACCTGCATGCAGCGTATGAAGGAGTGTTTCTATCTGTTGGTCTGAACTGGTGGGTATTTAAAACGGGAACCAGTGGGTAGGAACTGGAACTGGAACTGGTTATGGGGGGGACGGTTTAATTATCCCAGATGGACTCAGCCTTCCTGATCACCTGATCTTCATATATTTCACTCATGTTTTTCTGTTTAACACCTGTGATCTAACTGCACACCTTCATAATCTTAGATATGACATTTTGTTCTTTCATTAGAAGAGCGAACCAGCAGATGGCAGAGAAGGTAAGTATGCACTCTATAACAGATCTATAGAACTTGGCCATCAGAGTCATGTCATCCTGAACCCTGGCTAACTTTCTGAGGCAGTATAAGAGCTGCTGTCCCTCCATCATCTATGCTGGATCATTCGGTCCTGGATCAGCAGAAACATGAATGCTAACAGGTTAGCAGCTAGCACGCCGTCCTGTGAAGCAAAGATCAGGCTCAGCGGGTCCAGATCTAGTCTAGAACCAATCTAGAATCAAAGTCCTTTCCTTTGGTGATCAGTGGTGTTTATGAAGCTCAGTGTGATAAACGTCAGCCTGTCGCAGGGCGAGGACACGTCTTCCTCCGACCCCCACAGGATATAGACATAAAACACATAGATCTGGCTGTGCTAGTGCCATTTTTCCATTCAATAATTTACGCTCATATTTAGTTATTATTGGATGTTTAGTATTTGCACATTCTAGAACACGTTGCTGTTTTACTGGATTAATTTCCTTGTAGTTTAATCTGCATTCAGTAAATGCTTAGTGTTGGACGGACAGCCAATAGGAACGCACGCTGAGCGATGACGTCTGGGAGCTCGCACGTCTCTGGAATGTAAAGAAAACCTAAACTGGCGTGTTTGTTGCTACTGGAAACGGAGACACTGTTTTCTACGGTGGTTCAAACATTAACTCGCGCAGACTCGTTCACTCCGTCCGACTCAGTGGTTATTTGCCTTCATCTGAGCAAAGAAATGGTGAATATGTTAATCACAGACATTTAGCCGCTCCAGGCTGATTTCTCCCACAGGAAGCTCAGCCTGGCGGCCGCAGCGGCGTGGCGGTTGTGGTCAGACCTTGGCGCGGTACAGCTCCAGCTCGTTGTCTGTGATCCTCCAGGGCTCGCTGTTCTTCAGCCGCTCCGCCGCCTCCAGCTCCATGTTGTCCTCCTTCAGCCGGTAGGGCTCCACCATCTCTTCGAAGGCCGCCACACTGCATCACAACAGAGGCGTCGCCGTTAGCAACAGGCTGCGGACATTCAGCAGCATCATGTGCTGAATAACAACCATCCAACCACAGCATCTTCAGGAAGGTTCTGGTTGAGGAGCAGCAGCCTCAGCAGCTGGTTCCTGGAGCTCAGAACCTTCCAGAACCAGAACCAGAACCGTCCTGATGGGCGGGGCGGCAGTGAGGAAGAGGAGAACTTACTGCTCCTTCTTGGGCTTGGTGTTGATGTCCCCCAGCACGTTGATGTCAGAGAAGTCTATCCTGAACTTGCTCAGCAGAGTCGCCATCCTGCAAGAAACAAGCAGTTCTCACCACCAGAGGGCAGCAGACACCCAAACATTTCCCAGTTCAACCAGTCCTCTGCCAGCATGGGGGACTGGTTCCGCTCAGAGGATCCAGTTCTGGAGAACCAGGACCTCCAGAGGATCCATGAAGCAGCAAAGCAGGTGGAGCCAGAGAGCTCCAGGCTCTGCTGCAGCGTGGGCCGGGTCACCCAGAACCTCCTATCACTGGTTTGGGTTTCTAAGTCTGGTTCTGCTGGTTTGGACCTGAGGCTCATCAGACCCCAGATCAGAGAGGAACCACAGCTTCAAACCACCTTCCACAGAGCTCTGGACCTGCAGAGCTGCTGATGGAACCAGAGGTCCATTTCCAGGTGTTCTGCAGGACGTCAGAGGAAGCAGCTTGGATACGCACCTCCATCACAGATCTATTCTACATGTTTAGTTCTACTGTTCCTGCCTCTAACAGCTTCTACTGACGGCTCATGACCTCCAGGAGATCAGCTCATCCATGGCCGCCATCTTGCTCTGCTGTAAGCTGAGAATGAGTCAGTGCTGACAGGGAGACCAGCTGGTTCTCCTGGAGGACATGGTCCCAGCGGATTCCACACAGCGTGAAGCTCAGGAGAACAGCTGAACACGGAGAACCTGGAGAACTTACGCTCGGCGGTCGTGATCGATCCGGTTGATCTTCCCTCCAATGAAAACGCGGATCTTGCAATCCTTCCACCTCTTCTTGTTGGTCAGAAGGTAGGGGATGAGCAGGGTCAGACCTGACGGAGGAACAGAAGAGCTTAGAACCAGAACCGCTGCATACAGGCCTCATTCTGGAGAGAAGGCCCAACCCATCATCATCATCATCATCATCGAGTGGAGACGCGGTTCCTCTCATCCTGCAGCTAAACGGGTTCTGCTGTTTTATTGGACCTGAACCCTACTGCTAACCCACCGCTAACGCTAACCCTATTGCTAACTCTACTGCTAACCCACTGCTAACGCTAACCCTATTGCTAACTCTACTGCTAACCCGACTACTACTACTGGTAATGCTACTGCTAACTCTACTGCTAACCCCACTACTAATACTGCTAATGCTACTGCTAACTCTACTGCTAACCCACCGCTAACGCTAACCCTATTGCTAACTCTACTCCTAACCCACCGCTAATGCTAACCCTACTGCTAACCCCACTACTAATACTGCTAATGCTACTGCTAACTCTACTGCTAACCCACCGCTAACGCTAACCCTATTGCTAACTCTACTACTAATACTGCTAATGCTACTGCTAACTCTACTGCTAACCCACCGCTAACG